CAGTGATAATGCCAGTCCTTATCCGCGGGTCACTTTTCTGGGAAGAATCAATGTTTAACACCGATCCTGGCTTTTTCCAGAGAGCTCTTGAGGCCCAGGTCTCAGAGCCTGCCGCAGTGCTCGTGGGTGCTCATGGCCGTGACCAGGCACCCATCAGCTCACAAAGGCCAGGCAGCCGCCGCAAGGAACCGCAGAGACAACTGACTGCGGTTACCTTAATTTACAGGTGCTTTCTGCCTTTTCTGACCGGTGTGAAGTTTTCCACTTGCTCTCGTGCTGTTTCACAGCAGTCTCTGCACCCCCAGACAGCACCTTCCTGCTGCAGGGTCTGCCGGGGGGGCTGCTGCAGGGACCTCCAGCCCGGCTGCTGCTGGGTCCAGACCTCTCCCCCCCCACCCCCCAGAGCAGGCGTTTGCGAGGTTCTGAGAGCAAATTGTGAAGGTGCCAAATTATCACCCCTGTGCAAAAAAAGAGCCTTTTGTTGCTTGGTTTTGTACTGGCTGGCTGTAGCTCTGCTCTCAATTTTGACTCATCGCAGGTAAGATTGGGTAGCTAGCAGCTGGCTGATTTTTTCAGATGAAGCTGGAGCAGGTACGGCGTTGCTGTCTCCCAGTGAGGATGCCTGGTGTGTTTCTAGAGGTGAACGACTGTGACAATATTACAAAGTGCTAAGAGTACCTGTGGTTTTTTGCTCTGTAGTGTTACTAACTTGGAAATACTCAATTTTGTATTTAAAGGGTTTGGAAAAATGAAAGAACTGACATATGGCCAGCTTTACAGGTCTTAATTTCCAGCCGGGGGTCGTTGCTGTTGGCTGCGGGCTCTCTGCGATGCCACCAGCTGCGTTAGCTGTTCTCTAAAAAACTGATTTTAGCCATACGCCTCAGAGAACCACAAACCTACTGATCCTTTTCACTCCCGTTTCTGGTTGCAGCTTGCCTTAACCAGATCCAGCTCCTTGGGTGACTCCTCCAGGCCACAGAGGTATGGTGATATTCTTCTGCAGTCGCTGTTACTTAATTGCTCGGCGTGAGACGCGTGTCCTGGGAAGCTTCCCGTCCAGCAGCCCCAGCGGGACAGCGGAGCGAGGCAGAGTGGTCCCCAGCACCGGGGGGTGCGGGTGAGGCTGTGGCACTGGGCTCGAGCAGGGGGAGAAGGCATCACCCCTGCAGGGTCCGAGGGAGCGCACAGGGAGGGGCAGCGGTGGGGACCGGTCGTTTCGGTCCGGCACACGGAGTGCACGCAGCCCGGCACCCCGGCGTTCGTACGGAGCTCTGTGTGTTCCCCTTACAGGCACCTCGTTGCTATACTGAAAGAAGATAAAGAGACGTTCGGGTTTGAAATCCAGGTAAGACTGAAAGGACAAGTTGATTCATTTGAAAATAAAATACGGTGCAAACTCGTAAGCGTCGCATCCTGCAAATTAGGTGAAGACAGCGCAGGGCGGAGAAAGATACCTGTCAGTTCCTCGTGAAATTTGAAGAGCTTACAGTTATGACACAGAAATAGGATACGTTGCCAAGGATTTTTTCGTAGCGAAGGTCACAGATGAGAATTTCCGGCCTTCCCACAAGTCAGAGCATTGAATGTAGGAGAAATCTCATCCTAATCCAGATAAGAAGCGATCGCAATGCCTTCTTACCTCCATAAGTGAGTATTTTTTTTTTGAGAATTTCATATGAAAATATTTTAATATAAAAAGAGAGAGATCAGAAAACTCTCCAAAAAATCCCTTATACTAGCATTTTACAATATAGAGACATACGTATTTTTGAAGTAGATGTACAGCACTGGTATGTTTTCTAGTAAATAACTGGGCTAAATGACTTTGGGATAAACCATACGGGGAAAAAAACCCACGTTAGATGTAGAAGTCAGCAAATCATCAAACAGGAAACCCAGAATCCTATCAGGAGCACTGCTAATGTTAGATTTTAGTTCTGTGGACTTTTCTCAGGTAACTCCTGCCCCTCCGTCGCGGCTGCTGCGGCGCAGGGCGTCTGCGACGCGCTCGCCTGGGGCTCCGCACAAAGGGAAAGCAGCATTCTCAGTGAAAGCGGAGTATTAGGGAAAGCTAAACTTTTTCAGATGTGGTTCTGTGACTGATAAGTGGGTAAGTGTTCAGCTCGTGAACGGTGGAGAGCTTTCAGAAGAGAGGATAATTGAGTCAATTATTGGGCTTTTATATAAATTGTCAGGGCAGATTTTCATTATATGTGACATTCTGATTAAAAATAATTGTTCCTGGCATATTTTCTTCCTGAACATACATTCAGCGCGAGCGCTTCACTAGAAGGCCCGGGCTACGGAAAGGCAGCATCTGTCTGGTACTAAGGATCAGCCATTACTTAGAAGCTGTAATTTCATTACTGCGAGTTAAATTAAGGCAAACCAGAATCAGACGATGTGAAACTCTAGGTCTACCATCTGCAGGGAGCTCGCGAGAACTGCAGGGATGGCCGAGCGCCAGAGCTTCTCGCGTGTTGCTGCTTCTTCTCCTGCTTCCCACCCATGGACTGGAGCTGGGAGGCGAGGTGGGCACCATGCGGCTCTCATCGTGCCTCGATGTTCGCAGAGCAGGCGCTGGTAGGACATCTCTGCCCTCGCTGCAGCAGCCTGAAAGCTAGGTGCCCCCTCCAAAGCCACGGGCCTGCTGTCTTCCCCAGTCTGTGAGGAGAAGAAGGTAGAGTCCACCCTCCTGGTTGGAGTGCTTCTCTTGGGGCCATCAGGCACACCCGAGAGATGTCCGTCTCTGCCGATGGCACCGGTGGGGATGTCAAGACATCTCTGTCCAGATGGCTCCAGTGAGGTGTGGTGAATCCCATCCTGCGCAGCCAGCTTGTACCACTCAAGCTGGCCCAACCTTTCAGGTTGGTAGGTGAGACTTACCACTCTGAAATAGGTCAGAAAGGCTGAGGCAGGTGTGACCTGCAGTGGCATGTCCTCCCAGACCCTCACGTTTCACTTGGTGCTCTTAGTTTAGCCAAAAGTCTTACTGTTGGTCTACTGTTGGTGGGCATCACTGCGTTGGTGTGATTTGGCCAGACCTGAACTCGCCCGGTCTTCACCTCTATTTGTCCCATGCTGACTGAGGACCTTGGGAATCTAACGTGACTTTTGTATCTGGGTTAGATGTGGCTGTCGTAGGTTTTCAGGAAGCTCAGCTTCAGTCTTAGATTTTGGTAGGAAGAGGTGGCTGAATACTCATATTTGCATGTAACCAAGAAGAGATTTCCTGTCATTGCAAGATCTGGCCGGGTTCCATCGCCTACCTTTGCATTTTTCTAAATATATGTCAGCACTGATAATCACATGACGGATTTGTACTTAGAACTACTTGACGTACATTTAATGTGTAAGTCAGTAAGAACAAGCACTTTTTAGGGGCTGCGGGGACGTGTGTGGCTAATGAGTTTCAGAGGCCAGAAGAACAAAAGTAGGCTCTGTTCTTCTTGCTTTTCAGTTCTCACTGCGAGCCG